TCCGTTATGTTTGCTTGTAACTAGAAGCTTCAATTTTTGAGACACTTATAGAAATTCGGTACACTGGCCTGCTTTGGCTTAAGCACAAAGTTAAGATTGTTAAGATTGGTTCGGATCGGACCATTTTTCCGACCACATGCCATACAAAAAAAGTTTTGAAAAGTCGTTGTATGACTAACTATAGGGTGGTGCGGGGTATTTAATGGTGGCCGGTGCTCTATTATTGTGTTCTTATTTAAAAATGGGTCATAGTATCGCCATTATTAGTTTTTTGAATATATAGTTCTGTAGTCAATAAAAAAAGGAATCAATGAGCGATATTACGCCTCCAGGCGGGCACATTTTTATCCAATATTCACGAGAACCGACCGTCGTATTTACCCAACATAACCTAAAGGATTTATTCTATCTAAGCATTTGTGTTTGCTTTGCTTCATACATCGAAATCCCTTGTCCTTCTCTTCTTCATACCGTGAACATTCTGTTAACACAGTGGTTTTTACACAGACGTAAACGGGTTTCTCTGAGCTGCTGCAACAGATCTGGATTCCAGTGTGCCTTGCACGCCGAAACGACTGGTCAACGTCTTACACTGCTAATTCGCCAAATTTGTGCACGTTCGAAGTCGACCCATTCGTTATGCTTGCATTTTCATTCACTTAGGAGTTTTTAACTATTTCTAGCAGTTCTCTTCAAATATTGCTTAGCCCCTAGTCTGGGAGTTAAAAGTTTACGGTAGCTTAAGACTTTTGTTTTTGGGTGATTCAGATAAAGTGCATTTTTCAAACTCTCGTTTTCGCAAGTAAAAAATATATTTTCTGCTCAACGCTGCATAGAGAAGAACAAAACCCTTTGTATATAAAAAGTTACGGTTTATTATACTAAAGTTAAAAAAGAAAATGTATTTATGCTATTTTACGTTGCACTCGTGAATGTCTTTAGGGGAAAAAAAAAGAAGAAGCTACGAACATGTATCCCGCAGTATTACGAAAGCAGTTCGCCTGAGGTTGATATATAAAGTCTTTGCAAACTTTCAAAAACCTTAAGAATAGCAGCTGTTTTTTTTCTTTTTTGTTTTTTATAATTTTATTGTATTTATTTATATATATTTTTTTCCATAATTTTTATCGCCTTTAATTCCGAAAGCAACAAGAGGAACAAAAATTATTTGCTGTCATAAAATTTATTGTATTTGTATGTTTTGTCGCCGTCCGTCGCGATGTGAATGGGTATCGTAAGTAAAATAAAAAAAAAGAGCTGAATATCTTCACTCACCTTTGCTTCTTTTTTTTTGGAATTTTTCCTTATATATGTTATTACTTAATTAACAACTGAAAAGTGTTAAGATATTAAGTGAGTCTCCTCGTAACTTAAATTTAATCCTTAGTTTTTTGATTTTTTCAAAAATTTTCGGTTTAAGTCTAATTCGTAAAAGCGCCCTATACGCGTATAAATCGTTAACGTTTTCCGAAAATATGATGTACACATGTGTATAACATATATATGACATGATGCTTACATTTCCTACGATGGCGAAGATGTTACTATTCGAGACCATCGATAAATGCAACTTTTTATATATAAATTTCATTTAGTTGGAGATTTTCGAATCCTTAATATGTCCAATTATTCTAGTGTCTATAAAAGAAAAAAAAAAAAAAAAAAAAACCAAACTATTAGCCACACTTTCGGACAAAGAAAGTATAATGCATTTAAGTCGTGTACTGTTTAATGTGATATTTTGAGGGAATTTCAGGTTTCTTGGCCCGCAATTTTAATAAATCGATCTGTAAAGGAAGAAGAAGAATAAATGCGTTTACTGTTAAAATTTCCCTATTGTCTTGTCGGTAATTTGTTATTTAACGTGAAATTATCAACTATAAAATTTTACTTAATAGTGTTAAAGAGAATGAATATTAAAGGTATTCGCTGTTAACGGATTATAGGGCGATTATTTTACGCGATGATTATTGTTTATATCACGTTGTTCTTACACCTTGAAATCGTTAAAGATTTCTTTTTAAAAACACGATGTGTTTATATTAAAGCAAAACAAGTCAAAAGGCTAATCGCGATTTGTGGCGAATATTGGATACCCACCACCATCAATTACATATCCCTAGCTTTGTCTAATGACAACAGAGACACACCCGACCGATGCATTGTAATTTTGCGAATTTGCTTGAATTTCGTATCGAACACATCCCTCTCTTCCTCTCTTTATAACAATTTTTCGGTATCAACTTCTTTTTGAGATTTTAGGTTGGTTTCGATGTCGGCTATGTATTTAATTTAATAAGTATTTGGAAGTACGCTTCTGGTAGACGTTTGAACAACTTCAATGTGATGCTTGATTCCAGAGTTGTCATTTTGAGAATAGCGTCAATAGACAAACATAGACACGGATGAGCCCATAGAGGGTGGGTCAAATCAACGCAGAAGTCAGCTGAATGACGGAGAGACGGATGCACAGACGAATGGCTTAGCAACCTGCCTTATAAACCGATCACTTCACCGACAGTTGGACGGACGGACAAACGAATAGCGTTTAACTCGATCGACAGATGGGCGCACGCATAGACGAATCGCTTAGCAATATACTACTACATCAAACATTTCACTAGCGGATAGGCGGACGGACAAACCAATGGTTCAGCCATTAAATTTAATCCGGATTAAAAGTTAACCAAAAAAAAAAAAAAATATATATATATATATATATATATATATATATATATATATACATATGTATATATATGTATGGAATTTCGGAGACATACTAGCAGTTCCAACAAACCAATTACTAAATTTCGTATAACACTATGCCTCAGTGATGCGTTTTATATTCAGCGCAGAAAAGAATATACCCAAAGATAATTTAATACAACGATGAGAAAAGATCAAGGTAAAATCGTGATATCGTGTGCGTTTAAGTTTTGTTCTTTTTTTGCTTTGGTTTATTTCTTATTTTTTATAAATAAATTCCACTTAATTGTGTATTGCAAGTAATAAACGCATAAAATAAAATGATTTAGAGTTTGTAAAGCATACAACAAAAGGTGTTTAATTGTTCTTTGAACTATTAACTGTGATAACTGATGAGAGATTAGAAAAGAAGCGGCATTGCTTTAAGTTAGAAAATTTTCAATTCTACGACAGTTTCTACAAAGCTAAACTTTGTTTTTTTTTTTCAAATCAAATTTTATTATTCCCCCTAATACACCCGCAAGAGATGAAGTGTACATATTTTAGGCAAGCATACTATTCGTACAATAATCAATTGTCCTTTCGGTAGTTTATCTGCCCGTCTGGTATATGCTGGCGTACATTCCGTGAGCTAGTGTAGGCTGTGGGGGTAAAATATTCACGGCAAGAGCTCCAGTAATAGACCGGGAAACGTTTTTGCGCGTGCTGTTGTCTTATATACATATTAACGCATTCTTATTCAAAACCTATCAACTTTCGACAATCGGTAAAAATCGCCGAAAACATTGCATCCGAAAGGTCATGTTAATGGAAATGTGCCGGCTTTTCCCAGACATGGTTCGATGTAAAGCCACACGAACGCGATATCCGAACCCCTAACTTAAGGCGAGGACGGGAGAGCTAGGATGATATAATGAGAACCAACAATCCATAAGTGTTCATCTCGAGGTAATGCGAAAACTTTGCCCCAGTGTAGGACCACTAGTCGGCAGTGCACTACCACTACGTCCATCAAAAAAGAAAATATTTCAGTTGCAAAGGGCAAAAGACGATGGCTATAAATTTAGGAATTGTGCTTAAACAGTTTCTTTTAATGCACTAGAGTGATCGCAGGAAGGAGAAGCCGTATGCTTTCTTTGTATTGAAAAAATTGCACGGTTTGGGGTATAACACGCGGCCTGAAATGATTGAAATCGTGCGACTGAGGATAAAGACGCTCTGCTGAAGACCGAAATGTTCTAGATCTAATGAAAACATCGTTGAGTTGAGAATAAGAATATTCTTGTTGCTATTAGGAAAAATCGTAACCTGAGTATTAGTGCACTCTTCCTTCGAGCAAATCATAGGTCTGGTCTCTGATTCTAGGCGAAACACTTTCTCTGTAATGGAAAATTTGTTTGGCTGAAAATTAGGAAACATTGAAAAAATCGTACGTCTGAGGATCAAAATACCACGTCAGTCAGGAACATAGAGGCGCTGTTGGAAATCGGACCAACGTGCGTACCGCTGTAAAGTGATCGATGTTCAACAACTATTCCAATAATTTCTTAAAGCTATACCAGAACGCCGATCAATTTGTTACGTAGAGAATGAGTTTTCTTACATGAAGTAAAATTATTACCCAATAGTAACGTCCGTCCAACAAGCACCGTCGTGTTGTCTGCTAAAAACGTTCACTAAGAGGCTGTGAGTTAATTTTTCCTCTTTTTCACTTTTTTGCAGAAAAAGCAAACCAATTGTCGTTTATACAGAAGGTCAACTGTTCCCAAAAACATTTCGATGAGGAAAAGAGGCCCACTTAGATGGAAATTGCTACACAACAGATGAGTTCGACTCACAAGCATTGCTCCGTGATTTGTTACAAGTATTCCATCCTGTAAGTAGTCCATCTGTCCATTTGTTTTGAGATTGCCTTTCTCTGGAGACACTTACGCATGAAAACGAGCTCCTCTTATACTTAAAGCTAAAGCTAATAGACCCTCTTATTAAATACAATTTATTAAAAGTGTTCATTTACCTTTTAGCATTAGTTTATTATTTTCATTATATATAAAATATCCTCCTCGTATCTTATGGCTTTATGAAAATAAGTGTTCTCCTTTTAACGTTTCCTTCTAACATTTTGCCATTGAGACCACTATAAATTTATTTTTTTTATATGTTTATGCTTTAGCTACAAATGCAAAATAACATCAATGCTCATAACCATGTCCGACACGTAATGCGTACATAAAATGTGCACTTAAGCTGGACTTTAAACTGTAAAGAATGGGAGCGAAAAAAAAAAAAAAAAAAAACGTCAGAAGAAGAAAAGAAAGGTCAGTTAAAAGTTTGCACATTAGTACTAACTAAATCCTTTACTCATACGAAGAAAAAGAAAAGCAAAAAAAAAACATAATTATACACTTAAGGGTAGAAATGCTTATGAAACAACGGATTCTAGTAATAAAATGAATATATTGTTAGTGTAAAGCTGTTAATTTGTGTTTGACACGTAAAGTGAAAAGAAAAATGAGCAAAAAACGATAAATGCAAGTATTGTTTTAAAATATGCAAAGAATTAAAGCGACGAGGAGAGAACGAAAGGAAAAAAATCTGATTTTTTCTTATTCACGTTTTTTACGTTTTTTTATTTCCATTTCTCTTTTATTACTAAATATGTCACATTACGTTTTGTCGCCACTTTATGGCAAACTTTTGCAATTTTTTAATGGTCATCCTTGGGAAAATAATACAAGAAGAATATGAACTCGACACCATTGCGTTCTATATATGCGTAGATGTAGATAAGAGTAACGTTATTCGAGAGAAGAAAATATTAACCATAAAAATCATTCAAGTCAATCATTCCACTTAAATGCACAGTAAACTAAACCAATTTTTACCTTTTAGGAGACAATCTTCTCTTATGCTGAAGTAAAGCTTAAATTACTGATAAAATGTTCGTTCCTGTCTTCATTTTTTTTTCCTCTTTTTTTCTTTCTTTCTCTTTCTCTTTTATAAAATTTTACTGTGATTTCTCGTTATTTAAAAAAAAAAAAAAAAAAAAAAAAAAACTGTTCTTCCTTTTTACGTAAACACTTTTAAAGTGTTTCTCCGTTTTTTTTTTTTTTTTCTTTGCTTTCTTCAGGGCTGAATGTGTAAACTTAGACATCACATAAAGTGTCAAATTTTAAGCCTGATAAGCTACAGATATTCTTTGCATATGAATTCTTTTTTTGTTTTTTCTTAGCTTAAGTGCAAACATAAAATGTTTCTTTGGGAAGTTTTTAGTTAAGTGTGTTGTTCGATCGCATCAAAAAGTACGTAAAGTAAGCGCCAGAAGAAATAATCGAACTAAAATTGAAATTTAATATTTTTCCTTCTCTTTTTTTATATTTGCTTTACTTTCACAAGCTATTAAAAAAATAGTTAAATTTTTTATTTATTTTTGTTTTTTTTTTTTTTTTTCAAAATAATGGCCATAAAGAAATTCTCTTTAAATGTCTTCATAGCTAAGCTTTAGAGTCTTTGTTATGCATACCTTGATAGCTTAACGTTCTCGCTCCACCCTTTTTTATATGGCTTGATTAACTATTCTAAAATGCTAATAGACAACTTATTGAAGCCGTAAATACCACGAACGTCCAGGTTTTTGAATCATGTGTTGAAGTCTTTGCCAAAAAGCCATTACCAGTTTTTCCAACTCGAACATTTTTTATTCATATGTTGCGTAGCTTGTACGCCTCGTGTAAAATCCAAACTTCGAATAACTTCTTATAGAATACTTCAGGATTTATTGAATTTTCTGTCTAAACTGTATCGTAAGAATCCATTATCGCCGCTTTCCACGAAAGTGCAAGTTTGAATTCGTGATGAGCAAAAATTCGGATAAAATCCAGAAGGCTCGTAGTTTAATATAACGTGAATTACTTACCTCAAATTTCAATTACAACTGTTCAACAACACTCAACTGATGATGGTTTTCTCAATTATTTCTCCTTGAATGCCATTGAATTTAATCTTTCATCACATACTTGCTTCAATGATTTGCAACACACCCAAAAGATATTCCTGTTGTTAGTCGTTTTCCATTTTTCGATTGATCTTTATTTAATAAATACCAACTATGACAAATTCTTAATACGATTCCTCATTTATTACGTCGTCCAGAAGCGTCGCATCCCACTACACTCTCTCAATCAATTATCATTTACAGATTTAATTTTTTTTGATAAACGCTAAGTACAACATACCCTTAGTCCGGATTTTGGCATAGCGTATCATAAAGAAACTTCGTATTCTAATGCACATACGACACCGCTAATGAGATAATCTACACTACCTCATTTAATTCGTCATTCAATTGGTTTTCTTAATAGTACACCAAAAGTTAAACATCACTTTTGTGTGAATACACAATTTTCCTCATATTGGAGGTTAATGCGGTCCAACTTTAGCAGTCTTAATTTACTTGCCAGTTGCTCATGTTATAATTGCTCATAAACAACGCTTTTCGGTGAAACAGTGGCTTGCTTTCATTGGAGTCTCTAAAGAAATAGACCTATGCGATCCGTAGAGTTAATCTACTAAACAGCGATTTCCACCATAGAGTACTAAAAGTTCGACAACAATTTTATCTATTAACCAACCGATCAAGATATAAATAAATCGCATCGCTAGAGATGGTTTTATTCTAGAAATCAGTATCCACTTGTTCTCGTCCTATATTCAGTTTAAAGAACTGCAATCGTTGGGTAATGTCCTTCTTTGGATAACTTTGTCAACAACTGTTACGCTTCTTCAGCTCTCACGCTGAGTTCTTTTTTTAATTGGGAACACTGCCAGCGATTTGCAACCGTATCCTTAAGAGTAACGCAAAGAGTTTACAATCGCAGGGCACTTTCTCATCTGCATATATTGATATTAGGGAGTGGTTATGTCTGCAACTTCAAATTTGATGCATACTCACAAAAGTAATGATAAGTATCGGAATCAGTGGCCGGCCACAGTACCAGAATACGGCTATGAAGCATTGCCATGGTCGTCTTAGCCGAAATGTTTTTAGATCGAAGCGAGGCAACGTGATCAGATTGGCCACGAAGACAACAATAATTACTCTCGAACGGGCAAAGCTTTAACTGAACAGTGTTGTTCGAACGTTTGAGATAAATTGGAATGCAAAAAGTGGGCAAACGAAGTTCAGGGAGACATCGTTAAGGCGTCATGGTTCTTACAAAGGTCAAATTAAAGAAGACGTCCTGTAAATTGTTGGAAAACAACCGCTATAGTCGCAAAGTCTTTGATTCTATTCTATTCTATTGAAGCTCCCAAATGAGTACGAAGTGAAAACAATGCTAGGTGTAAAGAAAAGAAATTCGAAAAACGCTATGAAAGATTTATTACACTTAAAAGAAGAAAACTTCTTCAGGAATAAATGTATGTTTTATGTATCATTAGATGACGTTATTTTCTTATTACACTGAGTGACCTGCAATGCCTTAGTTTGCCTTATTATTTGAAGATAATAAAATTTTTCTAAACTCAAAATAAAACACGTTAAGGGGCTTATAAAGCTTACACTTCCTTTGAGCAAAAATATTCGTTGGTTAGTGGTGTGTGCGCATATCTGTGTGTGCAGGATTTTTCCCAAACGAGTATAATCGTCTCTTGTTAAATTTAAAATTCCTCTGACGATTATTCTTTTCATTTATTTATTTATTTCTTTTTCTTGTTATATCCTACACCACTTTTGGTACAATGGTGTATCAAGTTTGTGCGGATGCATGTCACACCTAGAAGGACTTGAGGTACATCTACCTTTGATTATACCGATCGATTCAGGATGACTTTTCGAATCGATCCAAGCTTGTGCATCCGTCCGTCGGTCTGCCCGTTTTGTTTTCTTGTGTTCTATTTACAGGTCGAAATTTCTGAGATACTCAGATGAAATTTGATACATTGATATGTTTTAGCCCGAGAACAAACCCTGTTGAAAGTGATTCAGACCTTCGGATCTGCTTCGGACTGCTTTCTCTAACGCCTTCTTTCGCAAAGTCGTGACATGATTAACTCTATTAATCGAGATAGTGTAGGGCATTTAATCGTGGACCGTGTCGCACTATAGTGTTTTTATTCGTCTTGTTGTATTGTAGTGCTACAAAGTTTGCGTGATTAAAGCATAAAACTTTTTGTACGCGAGAGAACAAAAAATATATAAAAATATATTTTACACTACTCTAGGAATTTATGCTAACTACCAGTTACATTTTAACTGATTTCTAAGTAAACACTTATAAAGTGAAAAGTTTTTTTTTCATTTTTTTTTTTTTTCATTTTATTTTTCCTTTTTTTTTTAGTTAAACAGTAAACCCACCAACCAACCAGTCAGCCGGGCCGTGTAGTAGTTAAGGCGCGCGGTAAGTGTTTCCTTATAACTAAAATATAATTGAAAACATGCAAAACAACTTAAGAAGAGAAAATGTCATCTAATAAACTCAACTAACCGACCAAACAACAATACAACAACACCTACAAAGTACACACAAATCGTTACATATACACGTACATACAAAGCCTATGAATAGTAGTAAATACTGCAGGAAAGTCAAAATTACTTTAACGAAGTTTTTTATTTGTTTTTGTTGTGGATATATATTTTTTTCGCTTTTTTTCATTTTTTGTATTTTCTAAAGCCCCAGATACTTAAAGATAACTTACACGCTATGTAACACGGCAAGTGGCAGTTAAAACGAAAAATGAGATGAAAACGTTCAAACTGAATAAAAAGCAAAACTAACAAAAATGTAAAAAAATAAGTAAAAAAGAAAAAAAAACAAACAGGTGAACGAAACGAGCCACATATTAAAACGAAATTTTATTATATATCAAAAAAAAATTTTTTTATTATTATTTTTTTTTTAATTCTTTTTTCAAAATATTTATTCAACAAAATACACTCAAATAGTCTGTCTCATTTGCTGTTTTGTTCTTTAATACACAAAAGAAGTTATTGTTAAGACAAATAAAACACACACGCACGCACATGTCTCCCGGTCTTCCTACAACTACTGTTAGTTTACATAAGATGCAAACAAATTTTAATGGAAAGCATTTTGTAAAAACAACAACAGCAACCACAGCAATGAAAATAACGGTACACATTGTTTAATATATAACCGAAAATGATGTGGGTTTTGCCGTTGCTTTCAAATCGTCAGTCATTGAACTAACTTTAATAACACATATGCCAGAGTACTTTTTATGAATATATTATAGAACAAGAAAATTAGAAAAGAAAAAGAAAAAGAAAAGAAAAAACTGTCACGCATATTAAAATGTTTACTCGACCCCTTCCATCATCTTCACTCTCTATCCATTTTCAAATAAATAATGATTTATATCGGAAAGTTGGGGAACAGGAACAAATAAGTCGTTGTATATATGTACATATAAAATGTTTTTTGTTTTGTTATTTTTCTTAATCGCTCTTTTCAGATTTTTCAAATTACCTTAAGTCATAACAAAAACGCGACGTCTTTTTCCAGTAGATTGCTCTTAGGCAACAATTTTCAATATTCCGTTGAACGACGCCGACGTGGCCCCTCTGGCAGAGCTCTAAGTCATAGATTGTAACCAGTCATATTTAAAGCACATTATAGTGGCCCACGGCTCCTATCTTTAAATACCCCATACCCCAAGTTGCTTGATGCAATTACTTATATAAAAAATTTCCAAAATAAGATGTGGTCGCAAGAGTGATCCGCCCCGAACCGTTCAATCAATAGCGTTCGTTTTTGGAACAAAAATATGAACTGTGCGTTAAATACCAGTATGCAAGACGAACAGACAGAAATGCTCGAAATCTCTTACTGAATAGATCTAAATCGTGGCTGCCAAGTCCTCGCTCACGAGTTCAAAGCTCGCATACACTGCAGCTGGCTTTGATCGTATCTACAGTAACGTACTAGACTTTTGAAGGAATAACATAAAGAGTTGTACAAGAAAGGGAGCTAGTACTCCAACTCAAGTGGAAAAGCACTAATTACTCATCAAGGCGAAAAGTGTATGCGAAGATTGGAGGATAAACCGAGCATTGCATTTTAATGTCATGTATGTCATGTACATTACCGTAAAAATTTTATTAAAAAATTTCTTTCACAGGCAGGCATTAATTCAAACATTTATTTAAGATTTCGTCTTTTCCTTTAAGTAGTTTATATAACTTTTAGATAAAACAACTGAAGCATGATTACAAAGGGAACTTGAATTTCACAGTAGCATCTTAAGAACACATTTGTTTTTTTTTTTTGGAGAAAATAAACATTTACTTAACTGACATATGTGCCCAATTATAAAACAGTTCATTCAACTCCTTGAGGGTATAGAAAACAATAATTATGAAAACACACTGAATAATGGAGAACAATAGTCCTCAACCGTCTGAGTTTTGTAAACTTTATGCTGTAAACCGTATCTGAATCCATTGGATACGTATATCAAGTGCGACAAACTTTTCTTGCAACATATTAAATTTAAAATCTAAAGCATAAAATTAAAAGCCGTAATGTTTATAACACACATTAGACTGTGCGCACAAACTAAAATTTTAAAAGTTTACATTTTTAGAGAAAGAAAAAGTAAGAGAGCTATGTAGAATTTTTATATGCAAAATAGTTGGATCGAATTTAATCGTTAGTGACAAGTTTAACTGGATTAAGGGAAATTATCGCAAAAAGTCCACCTCAGTGGCAAATTAGGAGAAGGACAACAGCTAATAAATCAATAGTCTCCAGTTCAGATCTCATGTGCGGTACAGCTTTTAATAAAGCCTTAGTTTCTAGTGCTTTAAGTGTGTCCTACTCTTGCAACGCGGTGGCTTGGGTCACTTTTTCAAAAAGTATATGCATTTTTACAAAAATGTATAGTGTATATATAGTATTTAGTCATTCCCGGGATTCTTATAAGTCACGAAAAATCGCATCGCGGTAAGGTGAAGTCAGTTCGGGGTTAAATCATTAGGGCTTATTAATTCTGCGAAAGGTGGTAGAGAGAGGTGAAGAATCCTAAACAATGATGGCGATATCCCGTCAATTATATCTTTTCATATTAGAGATATAAAAAATTCAAACAAGAAACACATTACTCAACGGCAATAGCAAGAAGAAAATTTCACTTTTAAGAAGAAAATTTTACTTTTCGTGTTGCTGCGAGAAAAGTTTCGTAGTCGATAAGGTGAGACAATTTGTTGTCCCTAACAACTTGGCAAGATTAACAAAGCCGAGAGATTTCGCTCGTTCGGCGTTTCCGTGGAGCATCAGCTCAGAGAGCACCTTTCAATTACAGTAACGAGTTCATTCGTGAACTGCCTCTACATCTAACTACCACATAACTTAGCATTCCTTTGGCAATATAAAAGCTTTCGTTAGTGCATAAATATCATACATCATATTTTTATTTCCTATCATTTTTACAAATTTAGAACGGACAGCTTTCTTTAAGTCTCCCTCCCGTATAATCTATGTTTGTATTAACGAATAGAATAAATAATTTTGAGTAAATAGAAAACGAGTTCTTTTCAAATGCGGGCTTCCGTTTAGCTGAGCAGATGAGAATCACGACTGCCCAGCCACGGTTAACGGGTTTATGGCTCAATGCATTCTCAGCACACTTGGTCGTAGCTATAGCAAGGCCTTGCCGGTAAAGCGATGATAACACTTACCGAGCGGGTACGCCACACGCTGTCTGCCTCTTTCTGTTTCCTCTCTTCTTTCTGTCAATCACCGTCTTGCATACCTAGAAGTATATCCCTTCACTGATTGGCAATATTAAAAAAAAAAAAGATTACGCGATATATTTTGCTTATATTTAATTATTTGTGTGTGTGGAAATTATGCGCCTATGTAGATGAATGTAGATGTTGTGCTCTAAAAATGTCGTAACTTTCTTCGGGCTTGTGAAATATTATTATAGGGAGGTTTGAGAACAAAAACCATGTCTTCTTCAAGTAACGCGATCGGTGGACGGATCTAAGCATATAGAGTTCTGAATTTTCATATAACAGTTCATAAAAGATTGATAAAAACACTGTACTACAGCTTTGCTGTAGACGATTTGCCGGACGAGTATGCGCGTAACAACAATGCGAAAAAATTTATGAACAATAATTTTTCCGGGCAGCAGCTTTTATTTCACGTGAGGACTTGTGCAGGAGCCTTCGAGTATTTCGCAACACCAAGTCGCAAACTGAAGAAAATTGTTGCTGCTGCTGGTGGAGTGGAATGATGTATTGGATAATCCACTTACTGTGGGTTTATGACGCACTACAGTGGTATATCTGACCAGCCGTCGCCAGAAGTCTGGCAAATATAATAACATTCGAAAAGAAAGAAAATTATATTCGGTTGTGCCCGAATCTTCTACACCCATCACCGTTATATTCTAAAAGATTGAAAAAAAGCCAAAATATAAATCTGCACATTGCACAATACAGAGTGGGCGTGATTGATATTTTCTATTTTTGTAAAATAATTTTGTGAAATATATACCATACATCTCTTGTAGTTTATGAGCAACGAGTACGAGAACACACGGGAAACAAAGGTGTTCTCAGTTTTGGTTGCAATTCCATGTGGCGTTGTGAGCGTATTCTTTGACCTCTTTGGCCCATTTTCAAACACTTTTGCAAATTTGTAGGAGATGTCTTCTTTTTCCCGAACGAGAGAATACCATAGAAACCACAATGGTGGTCAATTTTTACCATTTTTGTACCGACACTAGGACGTCGACCACAATATAAACTTTCACATTTTTGTAGATTTATTTGCTGCAGTTTATGAGTAAAGAGAAAAAGAACAATTTTTTTTCCTTATACTGTGCGTTCCACGACCAATTTGACCCATTTTCAATACCAACGTGCGTGCATGTACTTCCAACGCGGCAAGGAGAATATATACAACGAACATTACGCAAACGGGCAGGCGGACATACTTAAACTGATTCAGAACTTGATGCTGATCCAGAATGTAAATACCTTGCAGCATGTGTGAAGCTTAATTTTGGACGTTGCAAACGTGTTGGCGTATGATGAATGTACCTCTCATCCTTCGGTGATGGGTGTAAGCGGTCATGCCCATAGCGCGGTTGAAGAAAGTTAGCATAAACGTGTATTGGCAAGATGAAGACATAAAATTTTATTCCATTTCCCAAAGTATTTTGATTAAACTTTACATCTGGAGTTGTTAGGGCTTGAAGATAAGAAGTGCAGAAATAGGAATTTAATTGTGACGGGTGTTAGTCTCTTAGGCCCTACGAATTTAGAAGTATCTATAAGGCGAATTCAATTTAGCTAACGGCGACATGTGCAGAGTGCAAAGACTTTTACTTCATAGAAAGCTGAGGCAAAAAAAAAAAAAAAGCATTTATTTGAGATAAAAAAAGACGTTCATGCAACATAATGATTATAAGTGCTTTACCATAGAAAATTGTCTTTGTTAACTATAGGTATATGAAAAACACTTGAGAAATTTGTTCAACGTCATGAATCACATATAGATTCCTTTAAATACTTTCAATGACAACTATATAAAGATACGCTGACTCTTTAGCAAGATATTGGAGAATAAACCCATAAAAAAGTAACGAATCATACAAGAAGTCAGTAAAGACAGGCCAAAGATGTTAAACACCTTGAGAACTATTAGATGGAAAGAGGAAAAAAGTTCAATACCATCATCATGGCCAGCATTGATGTTAACAGGAACACAAAAATCAACTGTTGGGGCGGACGAGAAGAAACTTTACAGACAACAATGTTGAATAGAAGTTGTGCGTGTTAATAGCAAGCAAACGTTTATATAGCAGCGCGGTCCATGTAAACGTTTGTCAAGGAAATTGTTAAAAGAGTAACAGCAATACAACAATTTCGCAACAACCTCTGCTTGATTCTTCTCTCTCTCTCTCTCTCTCGATATATGTAAAAAGCCAGCTAGTGCTTAAAGAAAAAGAAAAAAAAAAAACAATTCAATAAGTCAACAGTGCTCAATACTAAGGAGTCTGTATTTTGGTTTTTTAAGAATTCCCATACGATATCTATCACGGAAAATGGACCTTTTATTGAAAGTGTCGTTATGTGTTAAGGCTAATGTTTACCATGTACCATTATGCACAAGCATATATATATGCTTTATATATATATAGATAGAAATATACACATACACGTGTACATGAAAATCAACTTACCATGCTGGTATTATATTATGTCTTGAAGTTTTCTTTCTTTTTTCTTTGCAAGACTTTTCCGTCCGCAACAAAACAACCACACTAACGACAATAACAACAATGTATTAAAATATAAACACGTAGGTGTTAGTTAGAGAGACACCTAATGCAACCACATGATATTTGTCACTTTTTGTTATTCTTCCTGTCAGTTTATACACATTCATATATGTGTATATAGAAAAATGTTTCTATATATATATATATATATGTATATGTAGGTCGAAAAAGTATTGAGCTAATAGAAATATGCACTACTGATTTCGAATAAGGCAATCAATAATTGACATTTCAGTTACTATGGCAGTAAACCGACTATAAAAGGCTAATGACTTTTTAGACTACATGCCATATGCATATGTTGTACTTATAGATACGATAAGTACAATGGCTCATACATGTACAAGTGTGTATAAATTGTTCGCAGACACCTTTTCTATGCTATATTTTGTTGCTTGTTGGTGTTGTTGTTGTTGTTCTTACTTAGTTGATAACATACAATGCAATGCAATGTATATATATATATATATATATATATATATATGTATTTTTTTTTTTTTTGTATTTTGCTTTTTCGCTATTTTGTTTGCTGCAACGTTTATAACAGATATTTCTTTAGAATGATGCCATCAAGTGATTTTCGTTTTTTTGAATTTCTTCGTTTACGTTTCGGTTTAATGTGTTCTTTTTTTTTTTTCTTTCATGGCTTTCGTTGGACTTACTTAAGCGTTTTTGATTTGTTTCTGTTTTTTCTTTTGTTTTTTTGGTTTTATTTGCTTTTCGCTTTTCACTATTTTTTGATTCTCTTA